ATTTCCCCATATGTCTACATTATTAGTTTCCTGAAAAGAGACCAGACCCTTTGATAGAAGAATGGCAATACATTTTCCTCCTGTGGCTCCCTGGGAATAAAGAGGGCTGCCATGGAGTGGCCTGTAAAAGGGTAGGAGATACTGAGAGAGAATGGATATCACAGCAGCGCAACCTGTTGTACACAAAAAGTAAGTCAGGCGAGCAATTTGGGGGTCCGTTTCGCGTGAGTCATAGACATGGGGCATAGGAGACGAGCATGCCTGTGTAGTTCTCATAGTGCGTAGAAATTCAATATGTGATACCAGTTACCTGGTAGAGGTAAAGATGAAAAATTAAAGGGAGAGTGCAGAGGGGAGGGAACACACCTTTCTGCATTTCCCAAAACCAAAATGTCTACTTTATAAACCCAAGTCCAGAATCTTGCAGCGGTGTTGGAAGTCTATTGGTTTTCCAAGAATTTACAATTTGGGGAAATGACTTTGACTTGTTGATTTATGGAGGTGTGTTTTGGGGGGACGGAGGGGTCTGGTAACCAAGATGCACACTGTGGTGATAGCAAATGTTAAGTTGCCCCAAGAGACTTACCTAAGTTTAGAAACCATGGCCACCACCAGCCCTCTGTGCATGTTGGCGTCTGTGATGGGGGAGTAAGGGAAAAGGAAGGGCGATGCCAGGATTTCTGGACATGCTGGAGTGTTTTATGTGATATGTGCGTTTTCTTAGTTCACATACTTAAGTAAAATCTATCAGTTGTGCTATTGTTAGGTTGGACTAAAATTTCAAAACAGAAGAGAAGTTTTATGGTGCCATATATTTGCTCCTAAATAAAAGTGTATCCAATCATGGCTGAGGGCCTCTCTTTCAAAAAGAATGATGCTAGACTTTTCTTACATTTCACAGAACATTGGTATCCAAATGGGCACCAGAGTATTTCTTTGAACTACTTTAGGCATTGATTTTCCATCTGCCTGTATGTTCCATGATGATCCTCCGGCAGAAATAACCCACTGGTACTTTTGCGGGGGTGGGGCGGGGGCAGGCTTAGAAATTTGTTTGGAATACTTGCTTTTCTCTGTCTTGCAGGAAAAGTCTTGTAGTAGCAACAGGTTGGGAGATTTGTAACTGTAGTGCTTAAAAAAAAACACCTCCTACTCTTAAACATAAAAAAGGATCTAGCAGACATTTGTGAGGTTTATACTGAATTCCAGCCAAAAAAGGGCAGCTGCCTCATCCTTACTATGACGGTGCCGTGCTTTCTTGAGGCCAGCAGTGAGATTGGAAAACAAACCCCAAACTATCCCAGCTTGTGATGACTCTCTATCCCAGAGCTGCAGCGTTCCTGCCTTCTAGGACAAGAGTGTTGGCCACGAGGTGTTTCCTTTTGGTGCCTAAGCGGAGGGGGAGGCGCTCAGAGAGCATCCCGCTTGCGAAGAGCCTGATAGGCTGCGATGTAGAGCACTTCCCCAAAGGTCCGTGGACTTCACTGCATGACTCCTGAGACAAGGGTTTGATCTCCCAGCTGCACCAGCTTGGGTGTGGGGGACAGGGGTGGGGTGGGGGGTGGGGGGTGGCCTGAAAACGATCCTCTGGGCTTGTGAAGAACCTTTTTTGTCTAATCTTTGTTTAAGTGAAACTTGCAGGATTTCATAGATTCACTTAACAAGTGTTTGTGTTGCAAAATAGTTGGCTGCCTTGAAAAAAAGGGGGGGGGGTTGTTTAAATGCTGAGTCACTCAGCTGAGGCTGGAGACGTGATGTGTTGGGCCCCCTGATAGCAGTGCAGCTAGAAACACTCACCAAAGAAGGTCAGTAAGGATCCTGGGTCAATAGACTTTGCTGTGAACTCGGCAGAAGTATGTTCCTTTGATTGATAAGAAGTCATTGGTCTATCTAGCACCCCCCTCCCCCACCCTCCAAAAAAAGTGACAACTTGAGTAGATAGCAAAGCATTTGATACCATACCCAGCGCAGGAAAACCCACTGCTATCCAGCGAAGCCATAGTGGGTTTCTGAGGCTGTAACTCTGAACCGAAGCAAGCAACCTCCTTTTCCTCGTGTGCATCAGCCGGTGGGGTGGAATCCACGGCCTAGCAGTGAGCAGTTCGACACTTAGCAGACAATACCATCAGGCCGAGGATGAGCAGCCAATACTTTCCACAGTGTGCACTTATTCCCTCTGGGATCGTGTGGTGTTTATATTTTAAAACAAGTTTGGGGTTAGCTGCTGGCGATTTAAACCACTGTCTTTCTGATGCCACTGTGGAAACTGCATTTGTACAGAACAATGGAGTCCTGGTGGCATAGTGAGTGAGGTGTTGGATTGATACTTGCAAGGTCAGCAGTTCAAACCCACCCACCCACCACTACAGAAGATGAAGCTATTTCTTCCCATGAAGACTTACAGCCTCAGACAACCTAGGAGGAGTTCTGCCATGCTACATTCTGCCATGCTACAGCATCACTTATGAGTCAGAATTGAAAACAGTTGGCTTGATCTATTCTTTTTAGGGTTTAACCATGTGCCCATCAGATAGGTAGGGCAGATTGAGATTACCCTTTAGAGCAGCGGTTCTCACCTGTAGGTTGCAACCCCTTCGGGGGTCAAATGACCCTTTCACAGTGTCGCCCAATTCAGAACAGTAGCAAAATGACAGTTATGAAGTAGCAATGAAAATACTTTCGTGGTTTGGGGTGTCACCACAACATGAGGAACTGTATGAAAAGGTCGCGGCATTGGGAAGGTGGAGAACCACTGCTTTAGAGAATGAATCATAGCTCCTGTGAATTTTCCCGGGTCCAAATAATCCCCATGCTTCCCAAAGTCATCCCAGGGACGCGGGGACAATCCTTGAGTAAAGGTGAAATGCTAGAAAGAGGTCAGCAGGCTTCTTTGGGACAACGTCCTTGTAGCACGTCCCCCTCCTTCTGACTACCAACTTCCTTAGCTTTGATGTGAACAGCCCAAGGATGCATCTTAGAATTTAGGCCTTGTATTTGGGCTTTCCAAGCTTCCATAAGGGAAAACTTTGCACATGCTTTCAAACTCTCTAAAAACTGGAAGAGAATTTTTTTTTAAAGTTCACAACAACTGACAGAAATGTGATTTCTCTTCATGGAACCCTGCGGTTGATAAGTCAGGGGTGGCACTACCCCTTGCCTTCATAACTAGACGTTGTAGCCAATGTTACACTCAATGGTCATTTGGGAATTAGGAAATGATACATATCCTGTCTGCCTTGGAGATTAATAAACGAAAACAAGGTCATTACCATGGAGCCAGTGCCGACTCATAGGACAAGATAGAACTGCCCCGGATACTTGTTCTTCTGATCTCAGAAAATTCCTTTGTTTAAAAAAAGAGGAGGTATAAAATTGACATTTATATCACCTAATCATCACCCAAGAGGGTAGGTAGGCGTTTATGTTTTATACAAGTGATTTTTGCCAATGCGTTTTGGCGTATTTACCTTTATCTCAGTATTGTCATCAGGCAGGAGTCCACCACTACCACCCTTCCTAGGACTGGGTGCTCTGACCCTGTGCATAGTGAGAAGTGAGTCCATTGAGAACAATTCCAATGTCGGTTCTTTACTGGTGTGTGCCCCAAGTCCAGACTGGAGAAAAAATGCCAGCCTGGTCCAAGGGAGACCTGATCCATTCAGCTCAGCCCCTCTGCCCCAGGAATATTTGGGACATTCTAGAGTCCTGACAACTGTTTGGAAAGAAGACATTCCCAGAGCTGCCTTGGATATAGGAGAGAACCCTACTTTA